CCTTATCACTTGGAACAGAGATATATATTAATTATTTACCTAAAGCATGTTCTGTTAGATACGATTCTTACATAAACTTAGATGTTTGCTTGTTTTGAAAGTTTCGTTTAAAGCCACACAAGAGCTACTGCGTTAGTCCTCCTAAGTTTGGATTGAGAGACTAGAAGGAAGGCAGCTAATCAACATCACCCACCGTCAACTCCTGGGTTCTTCTAATCTGATAGTGAGATTGGACCGTTGCTCTTATGACGTACTTAAGGGCTCAAAGTGAGGAAAGTGGATGCGAACTGTATGCTTGGAGTTCACAGTCCAGCACGCTAGCCATTAGGCTGCGCTTAACCTAAACTGCAATGTTTCTCTGGTGTTTTTATGTGCAGCAAAGGAACTGCAGCTTGGTTTTATGTACGTTACATCAACGCCTTTACTTTGCGTAAAAGATGAGATGTTAACAATTGTACTTGTCTCCTGTTAATAATATCATTTTCCTTTATCATTTATTTCATATTTTCTAATTGAAATCTACTACGTATGCAAATCAAAGTAGATAATATAAAGAAAGTGCAAACGTATTTTATTTGCTGTTCTATGTGTTTTAAAAGAAGCATTTTCTGGTGCTGGCTTGTGTGTTGTGCAATGAGTTCCCCAGATGGCATTTAAAGTTTAAGTGCAAGAGCGTATAATTTGTGCTATATGATGAGTTATATCGTGGTGATAAGAAACAACCTCTTGGTTATTGATAAACCAATGGATCTTGGCAGCTGGTCGAGACGGAGAAGACTTGCAAGTGACATTAACGAAGTCTCCAACATCGTACTTGGGCTGGATACCTTCGATGGCAGGGCCCTTTTGTGGTATAACTGCAAACAGACACATGCCTTTTTCATTTAGATTCCAATTTGCGAATAGTTCAACATTAAACCATTTTATTTAACCAATAAGTATAATTTAAATATTGAATTAATGGATAAAGCAAGTATCAAAAATTGAATAAAAATGATATGTAGCATTTGATATATAATTCTGAATAAATATGCATACAAAAATGCAAAATAGGAAAAAAGTTTAAAATATCCACATATACTTTCACTTCGCAATTCATTCAAATAAACCCCCAAATTAAGATAAAAGGACATTTTATACATACGACTTGAACCTTGCTCTTTAGAATTGGAAATAAATATTCTAGCAAAAGGAATAGCTTCATTTGCCGAGAAGCCAGCAGATGGCGCTTTCTAAGTAAACCAATTTTTCTTACTTGGGTGAATCACTTCTAACCATAAATTTCATAGATAGATCTGTCTATATGGTTATGGGTTATATCAGTTTCAAGTTTTACAATCATTCATGTCATAGCAATACAAGTAATTAATTACTTATCCTATTATGATGTATATGTCATAGTAAGTAAAATGTGTTTCCAGACGAAAAGGTGGGATTGAAGAGTATTGAACAACAACGATTCTATTATTTGAAGTATAATTTCGGGTCATTATATTAATTATCCTGTTTTTTATTATATTTACAATTAACTTCTGTCTTTTCTTTTTGAATCAGGTTCCTGACTGATGTAAATGCATGCTAATGAATAGTTCAACGTTTAGTTACAAGATTTTATGAGCAGTGCAGTTATTGTTCCTCTATATTAATACTAAATTCTATGTGAACAGTCAGCATAAAGGAGTTTTTGCGACTCTACGTCGAACCACCTGCCAGTATGACGCCGTTTTCTAGAGAATATGGGTTTAAACAACGACATTTAAAAGTGCACACTTGCGTATCGTACCGCGTGTTGACGATAAGAGGCGCGAGCCTTCGTGATTACCTTATCACTTGGAACAAGAGATATATATTAAATTATTTACCTAAAGCATGTTCTGTTAGATATAGAAACTGTCTGTGGTGAAACACACTGAAGGAGGTATGAGAGACATTTCACGTGTTCACCGGTTCACTGAACAACCATCAAAAAGCTGAGGAGTGTCTGTATTTTATTTGAATGCTAAACACACCCAACAACTCATATCTTTTAATAAGACAGTCACATCTCTCCTTTGGATACTCCTCTCATGAGCACTACCCGTTCAATTAAAGTAAAAATTAATAGTTGAAACCTTCTGGGGAGAATAATAACATAATATTCTCAAGAAGGACATTTATGTTTATAATGACTTTTACACACCCGTACACAGATTAAGGTTATTGTTAAAGAACGTTTTATATAATTCGTTTGCTGTTAACATGAAAATCATGGCCATGTATTCGTGGGAAGAATGTCATTTTTTTATGTTACAGAAAATGATTCTACATAGATACACATTTATTTTTAGTCAGCCAGAACTGAGGAAGCTTTCGAAGTAAAATAGATGTTCCATAAAAATAGTGTACTTTTTTATTTTTTGTTGTGATCATTAAAACGGAACAGAACATATCTGCTTTTGACACATGTATGTGGAAATATAAAGTTTGGTCAGAGGAAAACGATAGAAGTCACTAGCTTTGGACCTAGAAAGACGATAGATATTACTAAGTTGGGTCACAGTAAAACTATAGATACCATTATGTTTGGTTATAAAAATATAAGAGATCTCCCTAACTTTGGTCATAGAAGGATAATACCTAAGTTTGATCGCAGGAAGAAGATTGATTTCGCTAAGTTTGTTTATAGGAAGTCGATAGATTCCACTGACCTTGATCGCATGAAGACAATAGATGTTACTACCTTTTTCCATATGAAGACGATAGATGTTACTGTTTGGTCCTATGAAGACGACAGATATCATTGTGTCTGGTCATATGAAGACAATAGATGTTACTATGAAGACGACAGATGTTACTATCTTTGATCATATGAAGATGATAGATGCTACTGTTAGGTCCTATGAAGACGATAGATGCCAGTATGTTTGTTCATAGAAAGACGATAGATGTCACTATGTTTGTTCATAGAAAGACTATAGATATTACTATGTTTGGTCATATAAAAAGGATATATATTTTTTGATAGATTGTTTAGGCAGAGTATTTATGATGAAACTTTGTACAATGGACGACAACGACCTGAAGACGAAAGGCGGAAGACTTTTGAAACGTCGTCCTCTACACTTGCGTTTTTATAACAGGCATTTGTCGTCCATTCTGCAAAGTTTCATCAAGACGATAGATATTACTAACTTTGATCACATGAAGATGATAGATGTCACTATGTTTGGTCATAAAAAAGACTATAGATATTACTATGTTTGGTCATATGAAGACGATAGATGTTATTATGTTTGGTCATATGTAGACGATAGATTTCACTAAAATTGGTCATAGATCGGCGATAGCTTTCATTAAGTTTGCTTACAGCGAAACGATAGATTTCATAATAAAATATTTTACAGTTTCTTTTTCAACCCACTAAAGAATTATCCCGAGTTGAATATAAAAGGCCCGTTTCTTATTTTTGTTTTTGACATGTGTATAATCTATTAACCGACCAATTTAAATCGTCGTAAGCCGCAAAAGACTTTACTTTTAACTGTCATGTTGAAGTTTAGAAGTACTCTTGGATTCTGTTGGAGGATTAGTGTGCGATGTGTATGGTGTTATTCTGAATGTTGGGAATGTCCTGAGATTATACTGAAGGATCATCATTGGACATGTATGGTGTTATGCTGAACGTTGGAAATGTCCTGTGATTATAATGATGTACCAGGGTGACTGATGTTTGATGTTATGCTGAATGTTAGGATTCTCCTGGGATTGTACTCAAGGATCAATATCAGACACATGTGTGGGGTCTTTTCTCTTTCATTCCAATAGTTGGATTAGTTGTTCTTGTTATAAAGTTCGTCACCTAACAAAATCTGTAAAAGTTGTTGCTAAATGTTAACCAACTAGTCTGTTCAGAAAGATGATTAACACGTGACTGACATCCCTATAACTTCTCGAAAGAATTAATTTCCACAATGCCTAAGCAATTTCTCTGGTTTCTAAGTCAATGTTTTAAAGAGATGAGATTTCATCACAAAATTCTTTATTTGTGAAAGTTTGTGATTTTATGTTTAAGCATATTGTATATACAGGACAATAAATTTATCTCCCAACGTATTGGGAATACACAGCAGCAAGTGTATCTCTAAAGGTATTGGACATAAATAGATATAATTTTATCTCTAAACGTATTGGACATAAAAGGATAGAAGTTTATCTCCAAGTGTATTGATATAAAGAGATAAAAGTTTATCTCTAAACGTATTGGACATAAAAGGATAGAAATTTATCTCCAAGTGTATTGGATATAAAGATATAAAGGTTTATCTCTAACGTATTGGACATAAAGAGATAGAAGTTTATCTCTAAACGTATTGGACTTAAAAGGATAGAACTTTATCTCCAAATGTATTGGACATAAAGAGATAGAAGTTTATCTCTAAACGTATTGGACATAAAGGGATAGAAGTTTATCTCTAAACTTATTGGACATAAAGGGATAGAAGTGTATTCCCCAATCATACTGGGTACAAATAACTAGGCATTTGTGCCCATATATATATATATAAAGGACTAATTGTTAACTGTTTATAGAAATTATTTTCTTCATGATATAAATGTTCAGTTTTGTTTGTAATTTTCATGAAAAGCTATCCTTGAGTAGCTATAGAAGTAATTAGGGATAATGGAGGAGTTTGATCGGTACATTGGGGCACTGTGAATCAAGAGGGGGTCTTTGAGCTCCGTAGAGGAGCGCGGGTATTTTATGCTAGTCTATCAAAATAAGCCAGTAAATAATAAATAAAATTCCTAAAAGGTTCATCCATATTCTACAAACCACATACATGTTTAGAAGTAGCAGTTGCCGCCCCTCCTCCCCTTCTATAGAGAACGAACTCTTTCCCTCTAAAGCCAGGTTTTCAGAAAAGGCAGGCAGTGGGAGGGTTCCACTCGCTTTTCAACACCATTAATGTGCAAGTGCTGGGATTCGAAGTCTTAACCAACTATTCATAAATCCACAACACTAACCACTAGTCCATGGCGGCAGAATGGAAACTCTCATCTTCTATAAAGATCGTTGACCTCATTAAACTCTCCAAGATATTTCTGTTGCTATGGAGACATGAACGCAGATAAGAAGCCGTGAATTTGGATAACAAGCTGTAATTTTGCACTACGGTGTTTTAGTATAACTGTAAGCGTGAATATTGTTATACAAATCATTGTTTTCATTCAATGTTTTGAAGTTGGTCTTTGGTGAGGTTTAGTTCGTAGCCTGAAGCAAATATCAAATGAGTAGGCATGGGCAGAAAAAAAACAATTAATCATTCTCTTGTTTATACCGTTATTTTCTATTTCATGATTATTTCTCTGTATATTATATATTAGATAAAAAAATGAAAAGGGTTATTTTGGTGGTTAGAGTATCGGGCTCAGATCTGAATGGTCCAAGGTTCGATCCGCGATATATTGTGTCACAAGCTCCGCCCTTTCATTTGTGGTAGCTGTATAACTGTGATAGTGAATTCCGCTATTCGTTTAGGAGTAGCTGTGTAGAACCTGGGTTTTCATGACTGGTTTTCTTCCGTTTTGTCAGCAATTGTAAATTAGGAACGGTTATGCCTGAACTTCGGGATTTCCGATCTCAAAGTTTAGTTTTCATGTGCATAAGGTGTCGCTCAAATTGAATATTCCAATGTACCCTAAGAAATAAGGAACTTCTGATTTTAAATTATCTATCAAATTATCTTGCAAATTACTAGTCAGAATCACACCCAGACCCGCAGAAAAGGAAAGCGTAAAATATGGAAATGCTACAAAAAGGAATTTCACGAACGCAATTTCTCAGACTTTTTGTCATTGTATTTCTGGTAAAGGTCTTGCTTCATGCTGAGGAGTCTTGAATAATTCATTAATTTTATAGAGCAAACGCTACATTGGGTAAACTATAGCTAAGAATGGGTGTATCGATTATTTTGTCGAAACATATAATATGTTTCCCAAAATAAAAACACTTCATTATGCTTTTAAATCGTTGTTGGTTAATTTATTTTTATATTAGCGTAATGTCCTTCCATACAAAAGTAAAAGTGCACATATTAAGTGACATCGAACCAGCTAGAAATTAGTTTTTCAAGTGACTCAAACCAGCTAGAAATGAATTTATCCAGTGACATCTAACCAGATTAAATTACATTTATCAAGTGACACAAATCAGTTATAAATGAATTTATCAAGAGACATCAAATCAGACTAAATTGCACTTATCAAGTAATCAGACTAAATTACACTCATCAAGTAATCAGACTAAATTATGCTTATCGAGTGACACAAACCAGTTAGAAATGGATTTATCAAGTAGCATCTAACCAGATTAAATTACACTTATCAAGTGACACAAATCAATTATAGATACATTTATCAAGTCACACAAATCAGTTATAAATGCATTTATCAAGTGATTTCTTACTAGATTAAATTACACTGATCAAGTGACATCAAACTATTTAGAAATGCACTTATCAAGTGATATTGAACCAGCTATAATGCATGTATTTATATATTTATTAATTAGTTAGAAGTAAAATTAATAAATCATGCCTAATAAGTTAGAACTGCGTTTATCAAGTCCCATCAAACTAGCCAGAAACGCACTTACCAAATTACATTAAACAAGCTAGAAATTCACTTATTAAATGATATTAAACCGGTTAAAATTAAATTAGAAATGTACTTACCAAGTCCGATCAAATTAGCTGGACATAAACTTATCCAGTCACACCAAACTAACTAGAAATGTGCATACCAAAACTGATCAAATTAACTGTACTTATACTTACCAAGTCATATAAAACCAGTTAGAAATGTATAGAACAAATCACGTCAAATCAACTACAAATAAACTTAGTAAGTCGAACGGAATAAGTTAGAGGTGTGCTTACCACTTCATATCAGAACAATTAGGGATAAGATTATCAAGTGACATTAAACCATCCGGAAATGCATTTACTCAGACACACGAACCCAACTAGAACCCATTCAAATGCACTTACCAAGTCAGATAAAAACAATCAGAAATATACTTAATAAGTGATATAAAATGAGCTGGAAATGAACTTATCAAAACACAGCTAATGGATTAGAAATGAACTTATCAAAACACAACTAATGGACTAGAAATGAACTTATCACTGTATATTCAACCGGTTAGATTAACAAACAATAAGCTCCTTCTGTATTCGTAAACACAGATATAGATAACACCAGATAATAGACTGTCGTAGGTACAATGTTTTTACATTTTTCTAGAGAATTATTCAAACCCAGACGTTTTGAAATGCAGTATCACTAGTGTTTGTCTAGTTTTCCTTATTTACAGCTATTCTATACGTATTAACTAAAGATTAAGGTCTGTATTCAATGATTAATGTTGCTCTCTCTATTAATAAAGTATTAACTTATGTTGTCAATAATTCAAGTTGTTCTGTCCATGTTAACAGAAGATGGAAGTCTGTAGTCAATAATTCAAACTGTTCTCTATAGAAGGTTAAAATCTATAATCAGAATTTCAAGTTGTTTTATCCGTGTTAATTGGAGATTAAAGTTTACAGTCAATACTTCAAGTTGTTCTGTGTATGTTGATAGAAGGTTAAAGTTTACAGTTAATACTTCCAACTGTTCTGTCTGGATTGATTGACGGTTAAAGTTTATAGTCAATACTTCAAGTTGTTCTGTCCGTGTTAATCGAAGGTAAAAGTCTATAGTTAACACTTCAAGTTGATCTGTTTGTGTTGAAAGTTCAGTACTGTTTGACATAAAAGGTAAATATGCCAAGTTACCGAGTGGCTTCATACTAAATAAATGAATTCAAACTATTTAAAATACACATTGTAAAAAGTGTTTTTAGTAGACTATTTTATAAACTATACCTTTTAGAGGAAGAGAAACAGAGAGTAAGTTATGTTCTACTTGTATCATCACTGTTGGAAGAAAATGGTTTTGACACTGTTGTTTCGTAAGCATGCTAAATGCTAAGTTACGTAATTCAGCTTAGTTATATACGATTTTACCCTCAGGTTTTTTTTATTTGTTTTTTAGTAATTAGCCACAAAGATACAAAATTAGCGTTTTAGCGTCATAAGACCGCAGACGTGCCGCTGAGCCACTGGGGTGGGGGTTCAATATAAATTGTTATGACTGATAATTATCATCAGCTTATATTAATTCAGCTTGTAACATTGTGGGTATATATCTGCAAATAAGTTCTCTCTCACATTCTGGAGTTAGCAGAACTCGGGATGGCCGTTCGTTATCTATATGGCCTAGCGCCCTACCATGGTAAATGCATCCAAAAGTTATCCCAGGCATGATGACGATCTAAATTTAAGTTTTTTAGATTGCTGAAACAGAATATGGCACCAATTTTTGTTTTTCTAGTCATTCTCGGGATCCCGTGGTGCCATGTTTCAAATTGCTTTCATATTTCTACTCACAAGCTAGCAGGACCAAAATTGGCAAAAGGGCAAGTGTCATAAGAGGGTTTTTCCGGGTACTGACCTCCTTGGGATAACTTTAGAAATAATTGGGGATAATGGAGTAGCTTGATTGGTACGTTGGGGCCTTTGTGAATCATGAGTGTGGTTTTGAACACCACTGTTGAGCGCAAGTATTTTATGCTAGTAATATTTAACACACTGACACTTCATTCTAAAGATAAAAAGCAATAAAAAAACCATTAAGAAAATGTTTGTTTCAAGTAGACATTACTGACTCCTCACTCACCATGCACCTGCATTTTCTTTTCACCCATTATAGTTTGAAAGGAAGGTGCCTCAGCTGACGCTTCACATCTGTAGTTACCTTCAGAATTCATGTCAGTTTCGTTAAGAAACACGTGCCCTTCGTAAGACTTTCTCAGCTATGGAGATAAAGTTCGTAAAAGCATCACTCAACATCAGATTGTTAGAAATATTTATAAAATGTTACGAAAAATCACTACCTCTTGAAATTGGAACAGACAGAGAACTTCTTAAACACAAATTTATTTGTTCCCATTATCCTTGAATTCCATATTGCTTATTCTACATTATTTCATCAATGTATTTTTAAAATTGATTTAATAGTTTTATGTACAGAGATTTTACGGTGTTTGTGTTTAGGAATAAAATATTACAGAATTAAGAATACTTCGAAACTTCGGATGAAACGGAATACTTTTTTTAAAGTGGTAAACCTAATTCTTTGTAATAATGATAATATTTACGCAATTGAAACAGTTAGACTGGGCTAATATTCAATGTCTACTACTGACTCCATATACTGGACAACATTAATCCGACTCCATATACCGGACAACATTAATAAGACTCAATATACTGGACAAAATTAATGATCTTGATGTAAGTGTCACTTCCTCGTAACGGTAGGGTGGATACTTACATCATATCTAAAATATTCCATCATTGTTTACCATGCTATAACATGTATAAGAATGAACTGGAGATTTAAATTGAACAAAATATCAGTTTTATTGTTGTTTATATCGCTAATTTTTAGTTGAGAGTATTTTAGAAATATTTTAAGTAATGTGGTGGTATGCTAAATAATTTTCTTTAGACTGTTTGTGCCTTTTTCCAGACTTTGAAGACGACGTTTCAGTCTGAAACGTCGTCTTTAAAACCAGACAGTGAGCAGAAGATATAGTAATAACTAAAATGCTGCAGAGGTTATGTGGCTGTGGTATAAATAAGGGAATATTTGATGCAACAAATAACATATCCTTTAAATACAAATCTCTAGCATTTCGTCATACATAAAAAAATTACTTGGATGTTTTTTTTATTTTTATTTTGTAAGCCGAAAAATAAGCAAGTCATTACTTTTGACACTCGTAGGTTTGGTTTAATAAGGTTAACACGTGAAACTGTACAAAATAAACAGTTTTAACTAAAAAATTTCTGTGAAATACTTACATCTATGTATATTCCCGGTAAACTGTAAATCTGTGCTGGAGGGTTGTCACGTGGTACATAGCGGTAGAATTCGGTTTCATTTTTATACCATTTCACTGCATACAGAACATCTGTTTCCAAGGCGTACGTGCAGTTAAGCCAAGCTGGACTGCCAGCTATCACTGTTTTTGGAATATGAAGACTAACTAGCCGAAGACATCTGATTTCTAAAAGACACAAAAATGTTAAAGATGCGTGAATAAAACTCACATTATCATATTTGGAACGATCGATCGAAGCAACTTAAGTGATTTGAATGGCTGGAATCAGGCTCATTAAATTGCTTTTAGGGCTAAAAGGAATTGGAAATTTCAACCTGAGGGGCATCTTATTCGCACTTGAGCTAAACGATTAGGTCAAAAGCCATTAGTACTGATTCAGGTATAACCGTCTTTAGTTTTGAAGAGAGGGGCAGATAGTCAACATCATTTGTCGCCACAATAGCTTTGTCTGGCTTTTTGAGCCGCATAACGGAATTCACTATCACTTTTAAAACGCGAACAGCTGAAAGTGTGGTACTTATTCAGCAACATCAAGTCTCGAATCCCGTACCCTTGGATACGCAACCCGACACCACAAACCTAAGAACAAGAGGAGATTACACAACAAATTGACAAAAATAATATTTTTATTGTAAACAACTTTAAATTTTGTAATGACAAGGGCAACTTTATAACGGTGAAGTTGCTTCTTCGTGACTTAAGTGTGCACTGCTGTATTAAAGGGAATATAATGTCTCTATAGAGTTTCAACGTGTACTTCTGCAAAAGAAATGCACTCGTATAGTGTCAAGGTTGCATTTGTACAGATTCAACCTGTAATGCTGTATTAAAAGAAATGTACTCGTATAGTGTCAAGGCTGCTTCCTCATGGTTAACTATTGTAACTTACTCCTTTTTATTCAAATACTTTCCCGTGAGTATGAACAGACTGTATCATTGATCATACTTATCATTAATATGAACAGTCCAAAATTCAAATTATGTGAAATTGTATGCTGCTTTTGTTTGTTTGTTTGTTGTTAATTACAAAGCTGCACAATGGGCTATCTTTGCCATACCCATCTCTGGGATCAATCCCGAATCATCGCACTGAGCCACCGGGGGTGGGAGGGGGTGGCTGGCTGAGGAAGCATATTTTTTATATGTTGTCTCAAATCCAAATCTATCTTAACCTGATACTTAGATTTAGATCTGAAGGAGTTTTACACATTCCGCATGGGTGACTGGTTGGTTATGAAGTTTGTTTTTCATGATAATCAAAGGCGTAACACATTTTCATGTCAATATACATATATATTCACACTTTATATGAACTATGTTCCAAGTCTCATGCTGCCTTAAAAAAATGTACTTCCAATGTTGGTCGTGCTCAGTCCGATGACCATAATTGAAATCTATTATCCGACAGAGCAACTTACATTCTAACAGGCTCAGCGAGGTGTATCTCAAACAACACAATTAGATACATTTTCTACAGAACACCTAGTGTACGTGGATGTCGGTTTCCACGATCACGTTTAAATCCACTAAATGCACAAAAATCAATTGTATATTGTGCAATTTAACAAGCAGGTGGTTGTTGTTATTCCAGTTTTTTCGGATATTTTTTTGACGAAACAGCCAATGATTTTGGACGGTTGTGAACTTTGGCTTCTTCAGTTTCAAATATGTGTTTATTATCCTTTTAACTGCACCAGGAGACATGCAGCCATCTTCATCATAGTGATGTGTTGGGTCAAAGATTTCTTTTCCTTAACCTTATATTTTACTTTCAGATAAGGGGGTGGCTCAGAATTGTTTTGGGGCGACTACACAACAACACTTACTTTATATTGCTGTAACAAACAACTATAGAACAACACTTACCTTATATTGCTGTAATAAACAACAACAAAACAACACTTACTTTATATTGCTGAAGTAAATAGTATAGTATAACACTTATTTTATATTGCTGTAGCAAACAATTATAGAACAACACCTACTTTATATTGCTGTAGTAAACAGGTATAAAACAACACCTACTTTTACTGCTACAATAAACAAATACAGAACAACTCATACTTTATATTGCTGAAGTAAACAAGTATAGAATAATACTTACTTTATATTGCTGTAGTAAACAGGTATAAAACAACACTTACTTTATACTGCTACAATGAACAAATACAGAACAACACCTACTTTATATTGCTGAAGTAAACAAGTATAATATAACATTTATTTTATATTGCTGTAGTAAACAAGTATAGAATAACATGTATTTTATATTGCTGAAGTAAACAGGTATAATATAACATTTATTTTATATTGCTGTAGTAAACAAGTATAGAATAACATGTATTTTATATTGCTGAAGTAAACAGGTATAATATAACATTTATTTTATATTGCTGTAGTAAACAAGTATAGAATAACATCTATTTTATATTGCTGAAGTAAACAGGTATAATATAACATTTATTTTATATTGCTGTAGTAAACAAGTATAGAATAACATGTATTTTATATTGCTGAAGTAAACAAGTATAATATAAACACTTATTTTATATTGCTGTAGTAAACAAGTATAGAATAACATGTATTTCTGAGACTGCCAAGG